GATCGCTGTAATTGCAGCAGGAAGCACAGAAGGTATTCGGGACATTTGTACTTACGTTACTATTGTCATTGAACGGGCCTCTCTACCGTCACTATCTGCTACTAGCATGAGATAACAGGGTGTCTGATCTGTGTATTTCCCAGTGAGAACATTCTGCTACCCGAGCAGTATCTGCTTACAACAAGGAAGCTCAGGTAATAGTAGACAAGACTTACATCATGACATCTTCTATATCATAGTACATGAAGTGGATTTCCAGGCAATTAAAAAAAGCTTCCAGTGGGGTCAGGAGATGGAGTAAGTATAGTAGTGGTTAAGGCACTGGATCCTACATGGCTGACCCCACGGTTTGAGTCCTGGACCCAGTGGCTTGAAAAATCATGCATGCTGGGTGCCTGTGTGTAAGTGCCCAAAATCCCAAGAAAAGGAGAAAGGATTGCAGCATGGCCATTCCCCGCAGTGGGTGATTTCTCACTTTCCCTCTTTCTCTTTCTCTGGTGAATGTACTTGCCCTACAGCCCCCCCCCCCCCCCAAAAAAAAAGAAAGAAAGAAGAGAAATGCTTCCAGTGTTGTAGTTGCATGGTGGCTAAGTCGCCTAGATCCCGCACAGCCAAAACCTCTGCGTTTGCATGCATGCATGCCAAAATCTGGAAAGGAGAATGAAGAAAAGATTGCAGCATGGCCATCCTCCCAAGCAGAAGGTTGCTTTCTCACTTTCCCCCTTTCTCTCTTTCTCTCTCTGTCTCCAGTAAGCACACTCACCCTATAGCAAAAAACTAAAATAATTTTATTTAAAGCTTCCAAATTTTAAGTTTGAAAAACAGAAGATTAAAACCAAACAAATAGGGCTGGCAGGGTGCTGGATTCCCACATGGTCAACTGTGGTTTGAGTCCTAGACCTGGCGGTTTGCTTTCTTACTTTCCTCTCTCTCCCTCTGTCCCTAGCTGGTCAAATAAAAATAAATAACTAACTAAAGTTAAATATTTAAAAACAAAGAATCAAACAAAAAAGCCTATGCATACTAAGACATCTCAGTATCTTAGAAAATACCAAGATGGAAGAGAAAAACTAAGTCAGTTAAAATCCCTAATCACAGAGGGAGTTTTTCATTTTTAAAAATGCTCAAGGGTATTTGGGAAGATGGAAAGATAACTTATTTTAGTACTGACCATTAAATACTTAGCATGAGATTTTCTTCTAATCTGCTAGAAACAAAGAGCCAGAAATAGATATGAAAAATGTGTGGGAAGGCAAAAAAGGAATCCACAGGACTCAGACTATAAAGGCTCAGAATCCGAAAGAATCAAAGAAGAATCGAACAAGAGCAAGACAAATCAAAGAAGAAACCACTTGTCGCCACAAATCATACTCTTCAATGAGCCACTGTCAAGCCAACACGAAAACAAAAGAAGACTCTTTTTTCAGCTATTTACACACAAGTCCTTTTTTTTTTTTTTTTTTTTTTTTTTTGCGTTTTTACACAAAACCCTTTTTTTTTTTTTTTTTTTTTTTTTTTTGCTACAGAGTACGTGTGCGCACAGGAGACAGGAGGTAGGGGAGCACCCCTCAGGGTGTTGGCCATGTTGCAATCCCCCCCTCCATTTCTCCTTTTGGGATTTGGGGCATGCATACACACGTTCCCAGCGTGTTTCTCAAGTCACCAGGTTCAGGACTCAAACTGCAGTTGGCCATCTGGGATCCAGCTGCCTTAACCACCACACTACCAGCTGGCCTGACACCTGACACGAGTACTCTTATACTAACTGTTTTTTTAATAGGCCTTATTTTTAGAGCCGTTAAAGATTTACAGCAAAATTGAAAAGGAAGTACAGATAGGTCCTACGTAACCCTGTTTTTTCACATATGCAGTCTCCCCTATCAATATCCCACACCACAGTGGCATTTGTTTCGATGGTGACCCTACACTGGCACGTCATTACCACCCCCAGTTAACAGCATACATGAAGGTTCACTTTTGGCGATGGCCAGATGTACAGTCGCAAGTAACCACCAACAGAACCATACGGCTGCTCTAAAAACCCTCATGCTCTGCCTTCTTATCCTTCCCTCCCAAACTCCTGGCAAATACTTCCTAATACTTCTTGACCATGACTGAACCAGACTAAAACCTGCATTTCCAGTCCTCTAGAAATTTCTGTAAAGACTACAGTAATGACGGCCCCTTAGAGGTTACATCAACAGCTTTTCTCCCTTTATTAGGTACGAATTCAGACTACGTTTCTAACAACTCATCAACGTACGTTTCTTATATTTTGGAATTTTATTTTTATTGGCAACACAGAAACAACTCATTTCTGGCAATAATATCCGTTTTTGTTCTTTTTGGACCGAAATCAACATGTTAAAAAGTACAGGTCAGGGACCAGCAGGTGGCATAATGGTTAAGGTGCTGGACTCCCACATGGCTGCCAGAGATTCAAGTCCTGAACCCGGTGGCTTGAACTCATGCTGGGGTGCATGTGTGTGCATGCCCAAAATCCTGAGAAGAAAATGGAGAAGAAGGGATTGCAGTGTGGCCATCTCCCCTGGGGGGAGTAATTTCTCACTTTCTGTCTTTCTTTCTCAGGCAAGCACACTTACCCGATAGCAAAAAAAATCTCCCTAAAAAAAAAAGTACAAGTCAAACACACTGTTTTAAAAATATGTACATTTATTTATTTCTTCCATGAGTGAGAGAGACATACAGACCACACCCCCATGATCCCTCAGCTTACACCAGTCCCTGATAATGGACACGCATGTGCCTGCTCTATGCGGAAACCCAGGTATGAACCCAGGACCTTCCCACGTCGGTTAGCCTCAGAAGCACTGTGTTTTACTGCTGCACCACCACCGGGCTTTAAAGAGAATTCAGTTTGTTTTCTGCAGTTCTCAAAGAGCAAATCTGGACCTTGACAGTGGCTTTCATTTCCCATCTGCGTATTTTAACAGTTTAGCTTATAAGCCTCTAAAGAAAACATCTGGCAATTTCTGACCCACAACTCCACATGACTGTTTGTAAGTAACTCATTAAAGACTTCTTTCCCATTATTTAGAAAATGAGTTCTCTATTCGGTTATTGGGAAAGTCATGAGGTATTTTCCTACATCTATCTATGCAAAAATGTGTTGTGACTTTCCTGACAACCCAACAGAACCATTTAGAAGTTCACAGAAAAAAATGAATAACCTCTTTTGCTCAGATGAGAAATCTGCAGAGCTTTGTGGGAGTTCTAGCCACTTATACAAGAAAAAATAAGTAATTCACTGTAATTGTCCCAAATTAAGAGATAGGAAGTAACGATAAAACTTGAGTTACAGTCTATCTTCAGAAACATAAAGGACATGATGTTTTCTTTAATTAAAAAAGAAAAATATTTCCGGCCTTGATATCTCATACCGTTCTGTTGATTTCCTTAGACCACTCAGTTTTGACTGACACAGCTTTCCCAAGTATGCTGCGATCTTCCATGAACTTCACTACATCTTAAAGGGCAGACTTGTATTCCCTGACCCAAGAGAACAGTGATACAAGATGAACAGTTACCTTGGATTTTTCTTCATTTTGTCTATAGAACTCTGCCATCTGTTCCTCCTGTTCTTCAATAACATCCTTGAGGGTATCTACCTGGTAGATCAAATTGTTCTTCTCGTTGTCTAACTGTGCATTGGAAACCATGGCTTTCTTGTATTTTTCTTCCACTTCGGACAAAGATTCCTAAATGAAATTCAAAGTTATCAGCCTAATAGTCAAAACATGTTTATTGCATAGATGCAATATAAGAGGAAATTATAGCACTGGCACAAACACACAAAGATGCATTGTGGCAAAATACGAGCAGTTTGGGGAACTCCTTGTAAGTAACATGCACGTAAAACAGGAAGACAGTAACAAGTCAATAATGGATAAGAACCATCAGTGCTCTCTGCTACCCCAGGAAACAGATCAAGCAGCAATCTAGCTTCTGAAAGGTGAGAGAGGTAGACAACGTATATCTGTAAGTCACAAAATTGCAGAGCATCAAATATTTTCAGAAATTTACTCTTGTAGTTTTATTTTAAAAGAATTATTTATTTAATTTTGTTTTTATTTTTTTCTTTTAGTTTGACCAGAGAGAGAGAAAGGTAAAGTAAGAAAGTAAGCCACCAAGTCCAGGACTCGAACCACAGTCAGCCATGGGGGAGTCCAAAATCTTAATTACCATGCCACCTGCTGGTCCCACTCTTGCAGTTTTTAACAACTAGTATTTAGAATGCAGTGACACACAATATTCAGTTTCTCTTTATACCTGTTAATTTCATATTTGTTTGAATTTTGCCATTTTCTGGACATTAGTTTTTCAGTACTTTCCTGTTCTGCATACTAATACTAATATAAATGTGTAAAACATCTTTTCTAGAAATTATTCAAAATGTAGTCATTTTAAAATAATACAAAAATGAATACTTAAAGAGCTACCATAAAATACCTAAAATTTTACATACTTCAATGTTTTCTGCCTAAAATTCTTTACAAGTGTTTTTATATATGTATAACTATATATATAATTGGTAATTGTATGAGCACACATGCCCTACAGAAAAATTTTTAATAACTTATTTTTTTTTTAAAGTAAACACTTCTGAAAATAAATTCAAAAGGGACCAGAGCGGGACCAACAGGTGGCATGGTGGTTAAGGCGCTGGACACTCCCAAATGGCCAACCATAGTTTGAGTCCCGGACCTGGTGGCTCGCTCTCTCTCTCTCTCTCTCTCTCTGTGTGTGTGTGTGTTTGTGTGTAACTGGTCAAATTAAAATAAATGAATGAATAAAATTAAATAAATAATTATTTAAAAAAAATAAGGGACAGCAGTTGGCGTAATGGCTATGTCGCTGGACTCCCATGTAGTCGACCACAGTTCAAGTCCTGGACCCAGTGGTTGAAACTCACGCCAGGCATATGTGCATGCATGCCCAAGATCCTAAGAAGAGAATGGAGGAGAAGGGGTTGCAGTATGGCCATTCTCCCTGCGGGGTGATTTCTAGCTTTCTGTCTCTCTGTCTCTCTCTGTCTTTCTGGAGAGTACATACACCCTATAGCAAAACCTTCTATTTAAAAAAAAAAACTTAAAAAAATAAAATAAAAATAAAAGTAACGTTTAGCAAACCAAGATCAGTCAAACAGAACTAAGAGTGCAGAGCTTTCACATTTACGATTGGTTAATTTTTTTTTTCAGAAACGTTTTTGCTATAGGGCGCGTGCGCTCGTCAGACAGAGACAGAGAGATGGAAAGCGAGATATCACCTCTCAGAGGTGATGGCCATGCCGCAATCCCTTCTCCTCCATTCTCCTCTCAGGATCTTGAGCACACACGCACACACGCCCGGCGTGAGTTTTAAGCCACCGGGTCTGGGACGCGAACCGCAGTCGACTACATGGGACTCCAGCGACATAGCCATTATGCTAACTGCTGGTCCCATGATTGGTTAATTTTTAATAAGGATGTCCACATAACTAAATAGGGAAAAATACGTATGTTGGGACAACTAGATAACCACATACAAAAGAATGAAGTTGGATTCATACCTCACACTATACACAAAAATTCACTCAAAATAGGCTATAGACCTAAATGTAAGAGCTAAAACTATAAAACCCTTACAAGAAAAATATAGGAATAAATCTTTATAACCTTGGGGTAAGCAATAGTTTCTTTGTTATAACACTAAAAGTACTATCAACCAAAAAAAGTCAAATGGGCAGCATCAAAATTTTGTGATAGCCATTTGGAATTCATTAACTTTTATGATATAAATGACACTATTAAGAAAGTAAAAAAAAAAAAAACACACATAGAATGGAAGAAAATACTTGGAAATGTTATATTTGACAAGGGACTTTTTATCTAGAGTATACAAAGAACTCTTAAAACACAACAAAAAATATACATAACCTAATTTAAAAGTGGGCAAAAACCTGAACAGATTCATTCTCTAAAGAGGATATACAAGGGGGACCATGGTGGCATGGTAGTTAAGGGCACTGAAATCCCACATGGCCAACCACAGTTCGAATCCCAAACTTGGCGACTTGCTTTCTCACTTTCCAGGTCTCTTCCTTTCTGTCCCTCTCTGGTCAAATTAAAATAAATAAGTAAAAATTAAAATAATAAAAATAATTATTTAAAGATTAAAAAAAAAGAGGATATACAAGGGGCTAGCAGGTGGCATGGTGGTTAAGCCACTAGACTACCACGTGGCCAACCACAGTTTGAGTCCCAGCTTGCTTTCTCTCTCTCTCTGTCTCTGTCTCTGTCTCTCTCTCTGGTGAGCATATATGCCCTATAACAAAATTTAAAATTATAACAATAAATTTTAAAAATTAAATAATTTTTTTAAAAAATAAAGAGGATGTACAAATGGCCAACAGTACATGACTATATGCTCAGCATGAGTAGTCATTAGGGAAATGCAGAACAAGCCGCAGTGAGAGGCCTCTTCACATACACTGGGATGGCAATAGTCTGTCATTGATAAGACAGAAACAAGGTAAGTATTGGTGAGGATGTGTAAAACAGGAGCCTTCGTGTATTGCTACTGGAATATAAAATGGTAAAAGTACTTTGGGAAACGGCCTGCCAATTCCTCAAAATGTTTAACATGGTTATCACATGATCTAGCAATTCCATTCCTCATTATCTACCTAAGAGAGATAAAAAGGTATGTTAGCATAATGGCTAACAGCATAATGGCTATGTCGCTGGAGTCCCACGTAGTCGACTGTGGTTCGAGTCCCGGACCCAGTGGCTTAAACTCACACTGGGCGCGTGTGCATGTGTGCCCAAGATCCCGAGAGGAGAATGGAGGAGAAGGGATTGCGGTGTGGCCATCCCCCTGGGGAGTGATTTCTCACTTTCTGTCACTCTGTCTCTCTCTGTCTGGCAAGTGCACGCACCCTATAGCAAAAACCTCTCCAAAAAAAAAGGTATGTCCATGAAAAAAAATCTCATCAAAGCAAACATTATCCATGATAGTCAAACAAACTGGAAACAGTCCAAATGCCCATCAACTAATGAATAAGCAAAATGAATAAGTAAAATGTATTAAATGCACACAATGAAATAGTATCCAGCCATTCAAACGAATACTGATACATGTATTATAACAATATAGATGAATCTTGGAAACATGCTGAATGAAAAGCAAATAAAAAAGACTATATGTTATATGATTCCATTTATATGAAATCTCTTAAACTGCCAAACTAGAGAGACAGGAAGTTAATGGTTACCCAGGCTGGGGTGGGAAGTGAGAGGAGGAATGAAAATGACCGCTAATGGGTGCAAAGTTTTTCGTAGGGCTGAAGTCTAAAATCATGTTATGGTAATGGTTGTGTGACTTCAGTATGCCACAAATAAAGAATTGTGAGCTTTAAGTACGTAAACTTTTTTTAAGAATTATTTATTTATTATTATTTTTTTAATTTTGCCATAGGGCACATGTGCTCACCAGAAACAGAAAAAGGAGAAAACAAGTAGCCTAGCCCAGGACCCAAACCGCAACTGGCTGTGTAGGAGTCCAATGGCTTAAATCACTACGCTAACTGCTGGCCCCTAAGTAGGTAAACGTTCATGGTATGTGAATTATATCTCAATAAAAATGTACACACTGACACATACACTTCCAATAATGCTTCACAAACCAGAATTCAGTTGGGAGCAAGATATAAACTAGGACTAGAAACAAAGGTAAATGAACAAATAATAAAAGCAAAGTCAGCTGCATAATAGTCTAAATATATTACTATCTTAATATCCAAAATTTGGAATGATTCTCATCCATTTGGGAGGCTAGAGAGAGACAGGAAGTTAATGGTTACCCAGGCTGGGGTGGGAAGTGAGAGGAGGAATGAAAATGACCGCTAATGGGTGCAAAGTTTTTCGTAGGGCTGAAGTCTAAAATCATGTTATGGTAATGGTTGTGTGACTTCAGTATGCCACAAATAAAGAATTGTGAGCTTTAAGTACGTAAACTTTTTTTAAGAATTATTTATTTATTATTATTTTTTTAATTTTGCCATAGGGCACATGTGCTCACCAGAAACAGAAAAAGGAGAAAACAAGTAGCCTAGCCCAGGACCCAAACCGCAACTGGCTGTGTAGGAGTCCAATGGCTTAAATCACTACGCTAACTGCTGGCCCCTAAGTAGGTAAACGTTCATGGTATGTGAATTATATCTCAATAAAAATGTACACACTGACACATACACTTCCAATAATGCTTCACAAACCAGAATTCAGTTGGGAGCAAGATATAAACTAGGACTAGAAACAAAGGTAAATGAACAAATAATAAAAGCAAAGTCAGCTGCATAATAGTCTAAATATATTACTATCTTAATATCCAAAATTTGGAATGATTCTCATCCATTTGGGAGGCTAACAGCAGTAAAAAAAAGTCTTCGTCACAATTCGGTCCCTAATAAAATGAGGCATAACTGCATGAAACATCAGAATCCAAAAGAGCTCATGTACCACGTGTACGGACAAAATATTTAAGACAATAAATCTGACACAGAATGTATGCAATGTACTCTCCCTTCACACAGCAGACCCCAGAGGCGGAGGTGCCGAGGCAGCTGTAATGACCTTAACCGTGGTCACAGTGTACCCATTCGGATCAGCCTCACACATGGGAGGCACTGATTCTCAGTATGCGTCCTGCACCAGCAGCAACGGCATCACTTGGGAACTGGGTACAAATGCAGATTTTCAACCTCATCTCGGACCCACTACATCAGAAAAACAGGGTAGGGTTTAGCGAGCTACACTCTTTAAAGCCTGGGTGATTCTGATGCACACTGAAAACTGGAAGCCACTACGTGAATGTTCCCACCTTGGCTGTTCCACCTGTATTCTCTGAAAACGAGCAGTCAATGCTGTGACCAAAACGCTCAACTCGCCTGGAGCTATTTTGCATCCGAGGACATGATACCTTCATGGTTTTAGTCTCGGTGCTTTGCATAAAGTAGACACTCCTTGAGCCCACTCAGAGTTGATGGCAAGATGAATGGGGGTTACTCAGACTAAGGCCACTTCTCTCCTTTCTCTACCCTTCTAAAACTTAAAATGTGGACAATATTTAAGAAGAACACTTTCTGGAAGGCCTTAATTAATAAAAAATGAACTGCCTGTTTATTTCAGACAACTTTTACAAAGACATGTAAGACACCGCCCTGTCTTCAACATTTCAAAATGTACTTGGGCTAATAGCCTATAAAACAATGCAAGATTAATCAACATTTCCAAACTTCTAAAAAGACTTACAGTAAACATAAAACTCTTAGCATAATGCCTGCCTGACACAGGCTAAGTAGTCAATAATTACCATTTTTTTGTCATTATATGTAAAGTATTAGGAAAGGCAATATATACTTAACGAGATTAAAAGAGTGAAAAATGATCAGTTCGGGCTAGGACCTCAAGGAAGTGGAGCTGAACTGTTTCTGACAAAACAAAATCTATCAAAGCTGGGTCTGTTTCGGCTAAATCAAGGTGATGTAGGCTCGAGTGGTGGCTGAAGTCAGTCGGTGTCCCTATGGCCTGATTCATCATGGATCAGAGACCAGTACCAGTGGGGAGGCACTCCGAGGAGTACAGGCTCTGCTTATCAAATCCTCAAGGGGAATTTCTAGACAGAAATGTGACCCCTGGCCTCTGAGAATTTAAAATTTAAATTTCATTCAAACCCTAAGGTTTTGTCAAAGAGTAAGCTGTAATTCAAGAAAGGTGGAGAATCTTCTGCTGAATATTCCAAAAACTACCTGAAACATTTAGACATAAGCAGAGGCTGGAAGTCCATCTTTCTTATGCACTGCAGGTTAAGCGCATGCTTGAAAGACAAACACTGTTAGTAAAGCCATGTGCAGTGGGTTAATAGGCTTGTAAAAACCGCCATTACCAACACTTCTGCCCACGGAGCATGCTCAGGATGCAGAACGGGCCCTGATACCTTTAGTTCTTTAAGCCCCTGCATGTATCTCCCTTCTACATCCTGTATCTGGTCCTTTAGGTCATAGATATCCTGCAGAACATAGGAATGAACCATTGCATAAAACCACGCACAAACCATGTTAAGGCTCAAGGAATTCAGATGAAAATGTGACTTACTTTTGTACACTCCAGACTATGGGAAATCAAAGTACAAAAATTAATTCCAATTCCCCAGGGAGAACTAGATTAGGAGATAGAGGGGCGGAGAAAGGCCTGAAACAATCTAGTGTTAAATATTTTCTTGGCATTAAATTCTGTTGAAAACAGCTTTAGTAAATTGGGGTGGGGTTGTACATGGAAAAAACTACAAAAATTACAACACTTTTTAACATAGAATTACATTAATTTTATAGATCACGTAAATACTTTGTAGCATATGCTTCACCTAACTAGTATGTACACTCCCCAGAGGTGGTGGTGCGGGGAGAGAGAGAGAGGGAAAGTGAGAAATGACCCTTCGGAGGGGAGGTGGCCACTCAGCAATCCCTTCTCCTCCATTCTCCTCTCGGGATTTTGGGCACACGTGCACACATGCACGACATGATCTTCAAGCTGCCAGGTCTAGGTCTTGATCTGTGGTCAGCAATGTGTGAGTCTAGGGCCTACACCACCACACCAACTGCTGGCCCCAAACAAACATTTTGAACACAATGTGAAATGGCATGGTCTATACAGAGGATATCATTTAAATGATAAGAAAATAATTTGCTCCAAATGTCACCAAAATCCTTAAAAGAAAACTGAAACAGGTCGCATTTTAAATGGAAAATGCTGTTTCCTTCTACTTGACTTTGTAACACAAGGTCTACTCTGATCCTTGATTTAGGTGGGAAGCAACTACACAGAGCTCTCAATACAGCTACGTGATCACGGGCAAGGACAAGTAAAGGCCATCTACGCTTATTTTTCATACTATACTTTTCTTACCCCGTCATTCTCTCTCTGACAGATTTGTCTTTCATTCATCAATTCCATTCAACAGAAATTTACTGAGAACCTATTAGGAGCAAGGTGCTGGGAAACAAAAATTCTCACTTCCTTCAAGGAGGCCATTCTCTCAAAAAGAAAAGCAAATAACGTGACAAGAGCAAGCTAGTCTGAGGATGGAACGCCTTGTCCTCAGCTCCTTTTTTCTGACTAGAATGTAGTACCTAATGCAAGAGAGTCCCTTATATAACTCTACACCAGTAGCACTTATGCCTGACAAGCGGTCAAAGCTCAGTAAATACTGACACCTTCAAAGCCATGACCACGAAGGTGAGTCAGCTCTCCTCTGCCACCATTCCAAGCTCTCCACTCTCCTCTAAGCCCAGCTGCTTTCACAAGCAGGCCATCCCACAAGCTCGACCCCTGCTGCTACCCTGCCTACAGATGGTCATCGCCTGCTCCTAATCCTACTCTCTACTCGACTGGGTTGATGGGAGGAGAACGCCAGTCTAGCCAAGCCCACCCATATGGGCTCTGGGCTTTCCTAACTCACTAGGGTTCTCGGCTCTCTCAGGTATCCTCTCTTTTTCCACAACCTTCGACCTCTCTCTACTGGCTCAATCAAACCAATGAACATAATTGATCTCACCTTCAAAAGTAAGCAAAAGCCTTCCCCAATTTAGTCTTCTCTTTCTACCTACTGCCCAACCAACTCTGAGACGCTCGTCTTTGTAGATTTCCCACTCACAGTGTCACCTTGCTAACCTCATCCTTATGTTTAACATCATGGTTACTGCTCTCCTGACTGCCAATGCTTCCTCCAAACTGAGGTCAAGATTATGTTTAAGAATGCAAATCAGGTAACATTGCTCGACTACTGAAAATTCACAGCTGTCAGGGTAAAAGTGAATTTCTTTGGGACCAGCAGTTAGCGTAACGGCTATGTCACTGGACTCCCATGTAGTCGACCGTGGTTCGAGTCCCGGACCCGGTGGCTTAAACTCACGCCGGATGCGTGTGCGTGTGTGCCCAAGATCCCGAGAGGAGAATGGAGGAGAAGGGACTGCGGCATGGCCATCCCCTTGGGGGGGTGATTTCTTGCTTTCTGTCTCTCTGTCTGTCTGGCAAGCACATGCGCCCTATAGCAAAAACCTCTCCAAAAATAAAAAAAAAGTGAATTTCTTTCAGGCTGCATACAGACGACTGTGAGTCGGCCCCTCACAACTCCTCCAGGCTTCTCTCTCACTCCCTGCTTTTCGCTGTGCCCTTGGCACCTTTGCTACACAGATCATTTTCTGGTTCTCTGAATGTATCTCTCTGAGAACATCCTCACCTAGCTCATTCTTATCTTCCTTCAAATCATAGTTTAGAGTTCGTCTCCTATGAGAAACTTTTCTCTCTTCTCTCCTAGTCCAGTTCCGAGGATGCTCTTCTGAGTCCTCGCCCTGCTAAGACCATACAGTATTATACCACTTGGTTTACTGGCTTGCTTCACTGTGAAAGTTCCTTCCTTAGGGCCAGGATGTGCTTTGCTGCCTAAATCTCTGAGGACAAGTGCTCAGTAGGTGTTAAATGAATAAATGCAGCTTCTCTGACTCCTCCTCCCCACTCCTCACAAATGCAAGCTCCACAGACAGACACCAGGACTTATTTCCAAAGATCTCATCTGCTAAACAAAGGGGTTACTAAGAACGGAGACTCAAGTAATGGAGCAAGTGAGTTTTTCATTATCGCAAACACTTCTATCATCCTAAAATTACACTTCTCTTATTAGGAAAAATGTAGAAAGAACTGTATTTAAGCAGCCAAATATAATACCGCAACAGCTCAAAAGACTAAGAATTCTCAGTCTGGTTCTTTGTATATCCACTTATTTTCCATTTAAAATATGGCCAATTGTTTCTAAAATAATTATTTAATACACACAACATATATATATCTATATAATATTATAATATATATAAAACAAGTATTTTTCAGCATTTGTGAACTAGCAGAATTCACTTCTTCAGAATCATCAAGTTTTCAGGAAAGAAAACAGTAAAAAGAACAGACAAATCTCCTTCCTTTCAGTCTCTGAAATACCCAGGCAACATTTCTGAACCACTTAACAATTTTTTTTAAAGAGCTCTACTTCTTTACATTAAATCACATTAAATGTTTGAAGTTCCCATCTACAACAAAGAAGCCAAGAAGCTGTTTTTAAAAAAAGGAAACCAAAAACTGGGGTTTACCCGCAATTCACTAAATGAGGTGTCTGGGTCTATTAAGCTGCTGGTGTCCCCACTTCCTCTTCGGGATGAGTTTCCACTTAGAGGCGTTGTTGCAGAGGCAGAATTTCGAGATGAAGGCTACAAAGAAAGAAATACGACCCTTGTTAAAGTCTTGCTTCTTCAAAAACATGTTTGCTGTGGAAACAAAAATCAGGGTGCTGGGGGGGCGGGCATGGTGTCCAGATGGACGTTCTCATGCAGCGTGGCTAGGAAGTTACCGGGTGTAATTGGGGGGCAGTTCCGATGGGCTCTGGGGAGGAGACGCCCAGGGAAGTGCCCAGACAAACAGTGCGTGAGTGCATTAAGTCAGTTATCTTACTTGAAACGAGAAAGAATGAATAATAACCAAGAAGAAAATCATTTATGGGAGTTGTTTTCTAAGTTGATCTCTGCTACGTTGTAAACAACAATGTGGTGAGCATATCAGATTAATTAAAGCATTTTAGAACTTTTCAACTGATAATGCTAATTAAGTAGCATTTCCCCTAATTTAGTTCCTAAAAATGCTTAAGAATATTTTTTAAATTATTTAAAAGAAGTATTTAATTTTATTTATCGTTTTTTAAAAAATTTGTTACAAGGCACACATGTGCACCAGAAAAAGCCAGAGAGAGAGAGAGAGAGAGAGAGAAAATGAGAAAGTAAGCTGCCAGGTCGGGGACTTGACCTACGGTCAGCCACATGGGAGCCCAGCGCTTAGCTACCATGCCACCAGCTGGTCCCAAGAATCTCTTCTTTTTCTATTATTTTGTTCATGCAGAGAGACACTATTCTCAACTGAGCACAGCAACACTGAGTACCACTACAAATGTGGACTTCTCTTCCCAAAGTTAGTTTTAACATGAAATTATGCCATTAATAAACATAAATCTACACTGTCCAATGTGCTAGCTCTTAGATACATGTGGCTATTGAATAGTGAAATGTGTCTAGTCCAAACTGAGACGTAAGTATAAAATGCACATCAGTTTTAAGACTTCGTGTAGAAAGAAGAATAAAATGTATCTCATTAATAACTGGGGGTGGGGGAGCCTCCCTCGCACATCACTTAAGCACTGCACATTGGTCTGTGGATCCCACATGGCTGACAACAGTGGCCTGAAAAACACAATGGGCACAGGCACACGCACATGCATGCCTGAATTCTGAGGAGATAAAGAGGAAGGATAAAGGATTGTGATGTGAACACATAGGAGGTTGTCTCCCTCTCTGGTGAGCACCTATGTCCTCTGGCATTAAAAAATAATCCATTATTTTTAAAAATACATTTTTGGAACAGTGTGAAGAAGCAGCAGCGATGAGAGGGACCCCCGGGTCGACCACAGCCTGTGTGTTGCTGCATCCCCGGATTCAGTCCTACACCCCATAGTCATTGCCACCATGCCCAAGAGAAAGGCTGGAGGGGACGCTGAAGGAGATAAAGCCAAGGTGAGGGATGAACCACAAAGATCTACAAGGCTGTCTGCGAAACCTGCTCCTCCACAGTCAGAGCCCAAGCCTAAAAAGGCCCCTGGAAAGGGAGAGAAGGCACCCACAGGAAAAAAGGAGAAAACTGATGCTGGCAAGGATGGAAATAGCCCTGCAGAGAATGGAGAAGCCAACGCAGACCAGGCACAGAAAGCTGAGGGTGCTGCAGATGCCAAGGGAAGTGTGTGCATTTTGATAACTGCGTCCTTCTGGGGACTGGACAGGTTGAAATACTACTTTTTAATCAAGTTTTATAAAAATGCAGGATTTTGTTTTACCTTTTATTTTTAGCTATGTTGTTAGTACACAAAACACTTCATTGTTTTTTGGGGAAGGGGCATTTGTCACTAACAGAATGTCTCCAACGCTGGATTTGGGGGACAATATCTTTCTCTTCTAGTTTTGAGAGACTAGCTCTGGGCTCCCAAGAGGAGGGATTCCCTGATGTTGGCACACACAGACTTCGCGGATGGCCTCTGTAGCAGAAAATTTAACATTTGTTTTACGTCCTCTCCCTCCCTGCCTTCAGCATAGACTTAACTCCCTTAAATCAGAGACCTATTAGGACCTGATTACTAAATATTGGTTACCACCATGGCAGGCAATCTGGACTTCCCGATGACATTAAGATGATATCCTTCAAAAAAGCAGCAGTTCCTGGGACCAGTAGTTGGTGTAATGGCTATGTCGCTGGACTCCCATGTAGTTGACTGCGGTTCGAGTCCCAGACCCAGTGGCTTAAACTCATGCCGGGAGGAGAAGGGGGGGGTGACTTCTCGCTTTCTGTCTCTCTGTCTCTCACTGGCTTTCTGGCGAGCATACGCACCCTATAGCAAAAACCTCTCAAAAAAAAAAAAAAAAGAAGAAAAAAAAAAAAGCAGCAGTTCCTTTTCTATATTGTTTGATATTCAGGTTGATAATTCTGCCATTTTTATTTCCCAAAAGTCAGGGTCAGCTTGTGAAAAGCTGTTAAACATGCTATATGTGAAATATCAACCCTCACTCTAAACTTTCCCTGTTCAGAGTGTCAAATGAAGACTTCGCTGGGTTTTATACTGGCTTTCTGATTTTGGTAGTCCACTGAAGAGGGAGTTTGAAAGTTGTTGTATACTGTTAACGATTGTCTGCCCATGTCCTGCCTGAAATGCTGTGATTGTTTATGAAAACTAACCTTTTTTTTTGTAAGAGAGATTTTTTTCTTGCGTGTGTGCTCGCTGGAGTGACAGAGAGACAGAAAGCAAGAAATCACCTCCCAAGATGGCCACGCCACAATCCCAGCATAAGCTTTAATCCGCTGGGTCCGGGACTCAAAGTGTAGTTGATTATGTGGGAGTCCAGCTACGTTACCATTACGCCATCTGCTGGTCCCTAAAAAAAGTATACTTAATTAAGCTGGATACAGTTTGTCTTGGATAAAAAACGCTTTTTCATAATAATTATATGTTGAAATATTTAGGATTTGGGTTAAATATACTACTTAAACTAATGTCATCTTTTTTTCCTTATCTTTTTTTTTTTTTAAGTTCGTTTGTTTCTTTTTTTCACTAGTGAGAGACAGAAAGAGAAACAGGGTCAGCCTGTGACATGGTGGTTAAGGTAGTTGGATCCGCACATGGCCAATTATGTAGTTTGAGTCCCAGACCCAGAGGCTTAAGAAACACTCCAGGGACCAGCAGTTAGTGTAATGGCTAAGCCACTGGGCTCCCCTACAGTTGACCGCGGTTTGAGTCCCGGACCCAGTGGCTTAAACTCAAGCCAGGTGCGTGTGCATGCATGCCCAGGATCCTGAGAGGAGAATGGAGGAGAAGGGACTGTGGCATGGCCATCCCCCTGGGGGTGATTTCTTGCTGTCTCTGTGTCTCTCTCTGTCTTTCTGGCGAGTGTGCATGCCCTATAGCAAAAACCTTTAAAACAAAAACACTCCAGGCACGTGTGCATGCATTCCTAAAATCCAAAGAAGGAAGTGGTGGAGAAGAAGGGATGATAGTGTGAAAGTACCTTGGAAGGTACTTTCCTACTTGTGCTCTCTCCCTGTCTCTCTCTGGCTAGCACATGCAGTCTCTGACAAAATTTAAAGAACGAGAGACAGAAACAGAGAGACAGATACCTCTAACCAGATCTTCACGCTGCAGTCCACCTCAAACTTCAGCCACTCTAAGACCGTAAGTGTGTGCTACCCAGGATGCTCAGAGAGGGCTCCAGACAAGAACTCAGAACAGGCCTACATGGGTGAGCCCTGTAGAGTATCGCATTACTGCTGTGTCACCACCCAGATCTCTCTCTCTCTTTCTTTACGGTAGCTACCAGAAAGTTGATGGTTCCGTATTAGGAGAGGGGTCTTCAAAACAATCACGGAACGTATTATGAAAAAACCATGCATGGATTTCAACATTTTCTGTACCAAAATAAAGTCATACTTCAAAATCATTTTCCCACAAATTTTTTGAAGTGTTTTCGTATTTGCTGACATTTGTGGCTTGTGTTACATTTCTACTGAACAAAGCTGATCTATCTTCTTGTATATAGAATAAAATTCATCATGCTAGATCATTTCCCTGACTGTCTAAAAACTTTTAGAGGAGAAAGTTGAGGTTTTAACATAAAGCAACTCCTAAAAGGAGTTATTCTACTTCAAGAACTATTTATCTATAAAGGAAAACAAAAATGAAACCCTCAGTGTTTGTTACCACCATTCCTGAAGACACATCCTATTTAGTGTTTAATGACACCTTCTTGGGATTCGTTTCCAGAGGAATGAAAATCAAAACAGCAGCCAAAAGCTTACGAGGTGACATTCTAGAAAGCAAAATGCAGTGTCTTTTTCTTCCCAAGACATACACGACTTAACTTTAGAGGAATTTGGGGGTGGGGGAGGGTCAAGGACAGGAAACAGATGCAGAAAGGAAGAAGAGCTCCAACAGGCCGACTGTTGTAAAATAAAGAATGAACAAGTCATAGAAAATAAGTTTAACTGACCTTGAGAGCTTAATTCTCTTAGGAATCGATATACTCACCCTTGTGTAATTTTCAGCATACTGTTTGTCAGATTTCTCATCCAACTAGAAAAGAACAGAGATAAAAATCAGAAAAGATGCTTAGCATGTTGATTTTTTTAGGGAAAAAAAAATGAAGTGATCTTATTTGAGTTCTCCAAGTTCAATGATGTTTGGAACCTAAAAAGTAAACAATGTACTTGAACTGAAATAAAAGTTAAGACACATAAGAGAAAATGTCAAAAATGTTAATTCTTATTCTAAGAAAGACTTGGAATCAGCAAGCGGATGTGTTTGCTCAATAGTTTGTAATGTTTAGACAGATTTTCTTTTCATGGTATTTAAAACACATTAAAAAAAAACTATGCATAAACTGAAGTTTCAGCATTGCAAACGTTAACACACGTACAGACACAAACAACTTACGCATATCAAAAGAAATGACGGATAAAACCAAATGCCAAAATCTTTATTTCTAAACAGTACTAGGACATTAGACACACAGATAAGACCTGCACACTTAGCCAAAAAAGTACAGCATGGGCCCTAAAACATCATCATTCTCTTTCCCACATCTTTAAGAATTTCTTTTAAAGTAATAAATGCAGGTAGAAAAAGAAAAAGAAACCCTCACATAGCACAAAATGGTATGAGAAGTAGGCTTCTCTCTCTATCACCATACCCTAATCTCCAATTTCCAAGGGCAACCAACCCCAAATCTTTAAACAGTTCTAATAAAAATGTTCCACGTATATTCTCTATCCTCCTTGCCCCCTTTCCGAGGCTCAGGGAACCGAGATGGTATTTCATTGTTTCCTGATAGCATTGATTAGTCCCTGACACTGTGATACTCATATCGTCTGAGCCCTCTATGGCACAAGCTCCGTCTGCACACTCCTTACAGGATTCTCAGTACCAAGAACAGCACATGGCTTACAGAAAGACAGAATTTGATGGAGACATGACTAAATAAATACCATAGCCTATCTGTAGTCCAGACTTCCTCATTTACCTTAGCAGGTTCTACTAGCCTATTATCTCAGCACACATAACTGAGTTCAGGCCTTAATGTACCAGTGCTCCAAGAAAGGAGGCACTTGAAAGGTCTCGTCCAAAACCCTGACTGTACGGCTAAGGAAAAAGGGAACAGAGATGCAGAGACTCACTGCGGGTGTACTACGAAAGCCAGCGCTGTTCTGAACGTTAGCTTTGTGGATTTTAACTGTAAACTTCATAGTACTTCCTTGTACATACTATCTCATTTACCACCGGGATAAAAATGTCACGTACAGATACACCTAAACGAAAATATACTCAGACTGCAAGACCAACCTCCCCAGCCCGGTCTAGAGATCTGAAAGCCGTCTCTGGTTAATTATTAAAACCTGAAACACTATTATTTCTGCCTTCATTCTTTATTTTTTTTCTGGCTTCGTATTTTAAAGTTTTTAGTGTTTTAAATGACCTACATTTAACATGTTTATCAAGTGTTTTACTTATTTTATCCCATTTTTACTTTTTTAAAACATGTGAAATCTTTTCAAACCAACAGGGAATGACAGTGGTTGAAATCTGTTTCTTAATACTGCCAACTACTGCCACAGAGAGGGACGACTCCCCACCACATCTGCACTAGGAACAGACATTGCACTCAGACTTAAAGACTATTCTTCAAAGTGAAAAAGAAATCACGTATGACTTATCTCAGAGTATTTTCCAACTCTTTTCTGCTAGCGAGTTAAACAGAAAAGCAAGTAGTATTCAAAATTAGAGCATACTTCTAAGTCTCTCTGAAAGCCTTCCTCACAAAAATTACCTCCAAACCCACCCAGTTGTCACAGACCGTCCTCCTGGGATGATCTTACATTTCAGACGTGCATCCCTGAACTACTCCATCGCAATGTGGATGCTACCGCCTTCGCTATCTTCTTACAGAAACCATTTGTCGCAGCCCAAACTGACCATGCGCCAGACCTCAGGGACTGTGAAGCCAGCAGGGGAAAAAAAAAAAAAAGCTGTGCCGCAGTCCAGCTACTTCAGCTGCAGTGACTTGGCCAGAGACTCCAGTGCTCGCTCCTGAGACGTGGACTGCGTTACATGCTGTTTCCCGTTGAGAGAAAATACTAGTTGAAACCCGGTATTTTAAATGCCCAGAGTACGCCCACACAGCTACAATGCAATGACAAGCCAATGTGCATAATGATGGCCCAAAGAACCTGCCAGATCCCGAAAAGGCTTTTTAAATAGAAACACACACACACACACAAACCGAATCATGTTTAATATACAAAGGTACAAAACTATAATAACGTATTTACAGTAGAGTTTAATTCATTGGATTCTAACCCTTGTTGTCTTCTAATTTATATATACTGACTTGATAATGCTATTCAAAAACTGTTTAAAAAAAAAAAGTTCTAATTTCCAAACACAATAGGGGAAAACACAATTAATTTTTAAAATGTCCTAAAGCAAAACTGGCTGAGGATTCCATTCGGAAATGGGTTTCACTATTAATAAACCGGGAACATTTAAGTTAGCAAATTTATATTATCTTCCTTTATTTGAGCTTGACCTGTGGAAGAAAGTAAAAGCGTGGGCCGGCAGATGGTGTGGTGGTTAGGGGTGCTGGATTCCCACATGGCCAACCGTGGTTCGAGGCCCGGACCTGGCGGCTTCCTTTCTCACTCTCTCTCACTCTGTCTCTCTCTGGTCAAATTTAAATGAGCAAATAAATAAAGTTAAATAATTCTTAAAGTAAAATAAGCAAGTAAAAGAGGCAAGAGAGGCTAGAGCAGCCATAGAGATACTACAGAGCCTTGCAGAATTGGGCCAGCACCTTTTCAGTACACACTTGCTCAGGAGTTCTAAACTATCAACCTACAGACATAGAGTTGGTCCACGGTGGGGTGGCCAGAAAGTGTTCTGTCATCTTGTATTCAATGCTAGCATTTAGAAATTAGAACATTTCACATGAAATGCAGGCTTTTGCCTTATCTTGAAAAAAAAAAAGAAAGAAAGAAAGAAAAAAGAAAGAGAAAGAAAGAACGGGGGGGGGGATGTCTATCAACATCAAGTCCCCTTTTCATCTGTCTAGAATGAACTGAATTATAACACAGACTTTAAAAGAAACACCATGAGAAAGACTTATTTGCTCTATTGAAGGGACAAGCATATATTTTCAGTCTTCGCCAAGAGGAAAACTATGAACCTTATACAGGAACTTATTAAACCAATTCAAAATATAAAAACTAGTGGCTCCCAGGCTGTAAGGTAACAGGGGATCAGACAGATTTACCAAACCCTGCTCTAGAAAGTCTTTCACTTAAAAGTTACATTTAAAGAGTTACATTTAATTAGTAATAGAGGCATAAGGAGATTTTAGGGACAGCCAAACTGTTTACTTCTTGGATACTAAAGTAAATTGCCAAGAAATAAACGCAGGGAGGACAGAACTACTACTGCAGACATCACAAATTAGAGGCTGAAAGAATTAAAATTTTCAAGAGAACCAATGTATGCAAAAATCTCAATTTTTAAAAAATATTTTGGCAGAGGGTATGTGCACTTGCCAGAGAGAGAGAGAGAGAGCTAGAGTAAGAGAGAGAAAACATTCCCTGTAGGAGACAGACACGCCATAATTTCTTCTCCTCCATCTCTCCCTCATTTTGAGATTTGGGGCACATAAGCACACACACCTGGCATGTTTTTCAAGCCACCAGGCCCAAAACTAGACCCATGCAGTTAGTAATGTGGGATCCCGCTGCCTTAACCACAATGGGAGGCCCCACAATAAATTTAATTGCCAGTGCCTATGCGGAAAAAGTGAATAAAATGTGCAGTATCTCAGGGGAATGCTTTGGGAGCCAAGTCTTCTAACTCTGTATCGTATGCACAAAGAATCCTTTACAAGGATACCCACAGCAAGCTGATACTGTTGCATAGCCAGATCTGAGAACCAACAATCTGGAATATCCAAGGACCACACTTGAAATGATTTTTAGGATTAAAATAGTCCATAGGGGGACTAGCAGTTGGCATAATGGCTATGTCACTGGACTCCCATGTAGTTGACCGCGGTTCGAGTCCCAGTCCCAGTGGCTTAAATTCACGCCGGGCGCATGCTTGTGCGTGCCCAAGATCCTGAGAGGAGAATGAAGGAGAAGGGATTGCGGCGTGGCTATCCCCCCCAGGAGGGTGTGATTTCTCGCTTTCTATCTCTCTGTCTCTCTGGCAAGAGCACACACCCTACAGCAAAAACCTCTCAAAACAAAAAGAAAAAAAAGGACATACATGTCCTAAACAGTCATACTTTATATTAGTATGTTCAGATAAATATTTCTGTAGGCAGTTGATTAATTTCCTAATGTCATAACAGGCAATGTAGTAGCTGTTAGTCACAAGCCTGAGGCAGCAGAGCCAGCACTGTCACTCCATGCGATACACTCACACTGGTCAGGTCTGGAATACTGACGGCGTCCACCTCAGAGACAACGCTTCCCCTACGGTTGGAGCGACTAAAATAATCAGCAGCAGAAGCCTTTGAGTCAGAAAAAATGAGATGCTTTAACAGTTAAGAAAAAGAGAGAGGAAAAAGATAAAAATATTGGCTAATATGGGGACGGTTGTTGGTTCTTTTCTTCATTATTATTTTGGCATGTGATAAAATACCATGAAATGAAGCAAAGAAACAGAGTCTATTAACCACCTTGAAAAAGTAAAAAAAAAAAAAAAAAAAATCCTAACTGAAATCATAGCTACCTAAAATAAACTCTGTTATCCATCCTGGAGTTCTATGGTACAGAGATCATTTACTATTTCAGAACCAGCAAATTTCATGCCGAAGGCAGGAGAAACACAGGGTGTCCAGACAGCACCTACCTAAAATCTCCATTAAAGTTCCCCAAATTTACAACTCATTATGTAGCCACTGACTCTGTTAAGTATCTCTGTATTGGATGCAGAATAATTTGTAGACTGTCTACACCCTTCAACCAATTTCCGTAATTTGCTCATTTCCATAGTCCCCGAGACCAGGAAATTTAGGACAAAATCATAAAGGGAAGAAACCACATTGGCTCTTTCTGGTCCCCAAACACACCCAGTTAATTCCCGCACCAGGCCTTGGCACTGGTCTACAAAGCTCTTCTCCCCGCTCTTCAAGCATCTGGCTCCTCATGGTTCAGGCCTCAGCTCAAAGCGCTTCCCTAGAGAAGCCTTCTCTGACCACCACCTCTGCATCCACCCCTCCAGCACTGTGCCCTGTCCATCTCTCCATCCCTTCAAGATTTGAGGCACACGTGCACACATGCCCAGTATGTCTTTAAGCCACCAGCGCCGAATTCAGTGTGGTTAGCCATGGGGGATCCAGTTCCCTATGCACTGTGCTTAACTACTGCGCTCACAGGGCCAGTCCATGAAAGTATTTTCTATACAGAAACTCATTTAGTCCATGTCTGAAGCCTAACTAGAGAGACCCATTAACATCTCCACTGTAAAAATAAACTGCCATTCACCCAGCTGATGGGTAGAGTGGATGCAAGCCCACGCGCCATCGTTCTGAAGTTCACGGCCTGTCCACCCAGCTGCTTCGCAATGTGCTTTCAGGCGTGTGGCCTGTCCCTTCCCCTTCAGGAGTGAGCATGAGCACTAACTGGTTTGCTGAGGGGCCACAACTGCTTTAATTAGGTGACTGATTTTGCGGCATCAAGTCTCGTTTACAGTTAGTATTCCCCTTCTCTATGAAAACTTCGGGTTTACAATCTTTCAGGTAACATGACTCTCATTAAAGGGCCTCTGTTTTCCTCAGGGGAGTGTTAGTCTCTTATTTTAGCTCTAAGCTGACATGACATGCTCTACAAAGTTATTTCCAAATCAGTTCCTTAAATATAAGAAAAAACGCCATCAGCTTTTTAAAGATTTTCCAGTTTCATAAAAGAATAATCTGAAATTATATCATTTATATTTTAACACCACTATTTGTTGTCTCTACAATTATTATCTAGTTGAATGCCTACAACTACAATTTTTAAATTTTGCCATCACTAACTCATTAGAATTTCATAGGACTTACCAGATGCCTACATATGGGGTAAATTTAAATATGACAGTGAAGCAAGCAAGTGATGGCAATATCATTTCTAATCCAAAATTATAAGCTGCACATAGCATAGAACATTAATTTTGCTTGAGAAACTTGTCTTTGGTGAACTGCACATATAAAGGCATGTACATAAAACAACAAAGAACAGAAAGTGAGAAACGGCACAGCTGCTGAGGTACAGTAGCTACACCAGTGTCCTGCAAGGCTGGGAGCCATCAGGCAGCCACAGGATCAGCACAAATCTCCAGGTCAGTGTGGAAACATGACAGGCACCCACAAGGGCAGCCAGGGTTCTGAGCAGCTGGAGAGCTGGGGACCAGGAGTCGTGGTGTGATGAGATCCTGTCAAGGGTGCTTATGTCTGTCTTTCTCATCTGCACACATGCACATGCGCACGCACACACACACACACACACACACACACACACTATCATTAAACAAAATTTAAACATTTTAAATAACCTCTATATAAGAGATATGAAGACACAAGTTATTAATAAAAGTTAGGACAGCCCATATATAGAATATATTCTGAAAAGTACTTCTAAGATAAAGTAGGCATAAAAATGAATTAGAGGGGGGCCAGTAGGTGGCGTAGTGGTTAAGGTGATGGACTCCCACATGGTCGGCCGTGGTTCGAGTCCCAGGTCTGGTGGCTTGAAAAATCACACTGAGTGTGTGTGTGCATGCATACCCAAGATCCCAGGAGGAGAGTAGAGGAGAAGGGAATGCAGTGTGGCCAACCCCCATGGGGGGTGATTTCTCACTTTCCCTCTCACTGTCTCTCTGTCTCTGTGTCTCTCTGGTGAGCACATTCGCCCTTTGGCAAAATCCCAAAAAACAAATAAATCAACTAATCTGAGGGAAGTGCTCATCTCGTCAAACACGAATCTCACTCTGTGAGAGATTCCGGGTGATTGCACATGGCTAGCATTTTAAAAGCCATCATTATTTGCATGCGACCACGCTCACCACACTTTCCCTTCGCCCTCGACTGGAACGGTCGGAAGACACAATGCTTGCGTTGTCGTCATCAGTGAGCTATAGATATTAAACGCAGATAAGGAAAAGGACGTGATTTCACTACAGGTCTTACTCGATCACAAGCACACCAAGAAAGGTTTTGAGATAAATAAAAACACTCTATATAAGCTTTATAATTGGGACAAAATAGTGTGCACCATTAAACAGAAAAGTCATTACGAAGTACAATAAACTGTCATTAAAAATCAAATATATTTCCCAAAAAACACAAAGTAGAATCTTATTTCGTATTTAAGTTAAAGAAAGAGGGGAAAGGACACGGGTAAACTGGCCACAACCACCTGGGGATTTCATAATTTTTAAACCTTCAGACTCTTTGGCATTCCATCAGGGGTCAATAAATATATTGAATGTTTTAATTTGGGAGAAAAATAAAAGAATATTTTAAAGTGAAATAAGTCAAAAACAAAATTTCCTACCAGCAAGGACACTAAAGGGATAACTCTCACTCCCCTGAATTCATCCCTATGAATTACAGGAGGTGCTTCCAACATCACCCTGCAGGGACAGCCTTCTTCCACTTCACCCCAAGACTCATCTTCTGTGTGTGTAGTTGACCTCCATTCTTACATCACTAAGAAACCATTCTGGTGTCACTATGATAACAACTCTGAATCCAACCTGCAAATGAAATGGCATCTAGCCAGCCTACGACTGACTGGAAAATATATAATCAAACTCTGTTTAAAAGGGGCAGTCATACTTAGAACATTAAAAATGCTACCAGGGAACCAGTAGTTAGTGTAATGGCTATGTCACTGGACTCCCACATAGTCGACTGCGGTTCGCGTCCCGGACCCGGTGGCTTAAAACTCACGTCAGGCGCATGTGCGTGCGTGCCTAAGATCCCGAGAGGAGAATGCAGGAGAAGGGATTGCGGCATGACCATCCCCTTTGGGGGGTGATTTCTCGCTTTCTGTCTCTATGTCTCTCTCTATCTGGCTGGCGAGCACACACGCCCTATAGCGAAAATCTCTCTCAAAAAAAAAAATGCTACCAGGCCTAATACCTGCCAAGTAGGATTTAATCACAGAGTGGGTTAAGAAGTACACTTCCTTGGGCCAGGAGACAGTGTGGAGGTTAAGGCAGCTGGATCCCACAGGACCAACTGAACAGTTCAAGTCTTGGTCTCAGTGGCTTGAAAAATATGCTGAGTGCGTGTGCTTGCATGCCCAAAACCCCAAGAGGAGAATGGAGAAGAAACTGCGGCATAGCCAAGACCCTGGTGGATGATTTCTTACTCCTCCCACCCCGCCTCTCTCCAGGAAGTGTGCACACTCTATAGCAAATTTTTTAAAATGGGGAGGCAGCAGGCGACACGATGGCTAAGATGTTGGATTCCCATACGGCCAGCCATAGTTCGAATCCTGGACTTGGTGGCTTGAAAACCACGCTGGCGTATGTGTGTACATGCTCAAAACCCTGAGAGGAGAATGGAGGAAAAGGAATTGTAGTATGGCCTTCTCCCTGGGGATTGATTTCTCACTTCCCTCTCTCTGGCAAGTAGACACACTCAATGGCAAAAGCCTTAAAAAAAAAAAAGAAAGAAAGAAAGAAAGAAAAAGAAAAAGGAGACCTCCTCCTTGTGTGAAAAAGTCTTATCTCCTTAAACATCCCTTGTATATTTTATGAATAAATACAGGAAATGGCAGAAGTGAGTCGAAATGTATATGAGAGAAACCTTTTATCCTGTATCACTCACCTACTTTACTCCACAAAGTGACCTGCTGACCATTAAAAAAACTGCTTTAATAATGTCTCTGACATTAATGACACTGTCAAGGGTAACAACTTAGTTCCTAAAGGCATTATTTGCCATTTGGAATTAGCACAAGATTTCTGTAATATGGTAAATACATCATAATGTAAATGCAGATGCTCCCTGACTCCATCGCTTTGTGATTTGTAATTTACTTTGCAGGTTTACTCATGTACGTACACAAACGTACACTGGGGTCAGAATGGTCATTATACAAGGGTCTGTAACAGGAAAATGCTGGCAATCTATGTGTTCAACAATAGGAAAGTGATTTTTAGAAGATATGCCTATGCACTAGTGAAATAATAGACTGCCGTTAAAGAAAATGAGCAGACATGAAACTTTCTACAATCGGAATTTTTTTTCTTTTTTTTTGAGAGGTTTTTTTTTTTTTTGAGAGAGATTTTCGCTATAGAGCACATGTGCTCGCCAGACAGACAGAGAGAGACACAGAGATAGAAAGCGAGAAATCACCCCCCCCAGGGGGGATGGCCACGCCGCAATCCCTTCTCCTCCATTCTCCTCTCAGGACTTTGGACACACACACGCGCGCGCCCGGCATGAGCTTTAAGCCACCGGGTCCAGGACGTGAACTGCAGTTGACTACATGGGAGTCCAGCGACATAGCCATTACGCTAACTGCTGGTCCCTCAAGCGGTATTTTTTTTTTAAAGAATTGTTTATTTTAAATTTTCATTTTTTATTATTATTTTTAAATTGCTATAGGGCACATGTGCTCACCAGAGAGAAACAGAGAGAGAGAGAGAAAAAACAAGCTGCCAAGTCCAGGACCGTGGTCAGCCTCGTGGGAGTCCAACTCTTTAACCACCATGCTACTTGCTGGGCCCTTTACAAGAGGTATCAAGTGGAAAAAATAAGAGACATGATTAGTTGTCTTAAAAAGCCTTTAATGTTGGGACCAACAGTTGGCGTAATAGCTATGTCACTGGACTCCCATGTAATCAACCACAGTTCGAGTCCCGGACCCGATGGTTTAAATTTACGCCAGGTGCATGTGCATGCCTGCCTAAGATCCCAAGAGGAGAATGGATTACAGTGTGACCATCCCCCCTGGCGGGAGGGGGGGTGATTTCTCGCTTTCTGTCTCTCTGTCTGTCTCTGTTTTTCTGATGAGTGCACATGCCCTATAGCAAAAACCTCTCCCCCAAAAAAGGAAAAAAAGAACTTTAATGTCAAAAAACCAGAATGACACAGAGCTACATTTACTGATACAAAAAGATGCTTGATGTAAAGACACACTGAGGAGCAGCGTGCATATGGATCCATTTCTGTTCAAAATAAAGAGTGTTCACACCCTCTAGGATCTCTGAAAGGGTATAAAAGAACAGAGGGTAAATCTGGGGGATGGAAATGAGGAAGGAAAGGTCTGAAGATTTTTACTTTGAACTTTTCTTAACTAATACTATGCTTACCCACTGGAAAAAATTAGTACTTCAAAAATATTAGGAAATTAGAATTTTCCCATTTTGTGTTCTATATAACATCGTTTAACAAGTTGACGTGTTTGATTTCTTCTCTTTCTACTCCACAGACAGACATGTTGGCAAGCAAATGAAATGGCACAACGCAGGAAGAAAAGGTAGAAAGGAGGAAAACAGAGCGGCCAACTCATACTTTAGGTTATTGCTACTGAAGAGATAAGAAGTTCCATACAAATAACACTTGAATACAAAAAACGTAAAATTTTCAAATGGTATGTGAGTCTAGACTCATTTAAGAAGCTAGATGCTAAGTCAAGTTCACTCAGAATCCACCAGTTAGGACAAATCAGTGCCTGAGCTGACGTACTGTGGGGACACCACTCCATGCAGCAGCCAGGGTGAGACGCAGTGCTCTGCGCTGTGAGTACGGATTAGTGAAACCACGGAAGGTGCTACAACGCATGCAGAGACTCGACAGCTCACCACAGGACTGCTTCGGGCTGAACTCGCTCTTGAGGAGTAATAGCTGTATTCAGATGGCTAGAAAGTTTCCAAGAAGAAAAGTTTGACAACAACCATCAGCTTCTTTTTCTGCTGAGAACACGTTAGTGACCTCAATCCTAACTTGCCCCTGGTTCCTAAGGGGAAGGTGAAGGTAAGCTTACTCCCCGGTCTGGACTTGACAACCCTCAAGCTCCATCACGTAGGAGAGCCGATGCTCTGAGAAGCACTACTCAGAAATTCTTTAGGAGGAGCTAATTAGCACGAAAAGCAAAGCGGCTTCTCTAGTTAGTCTCATACTTTAAGCCATAATTGCCAGCAGGCCGTTTCTCGCAGCTGGGGTGACAGTCACAGCTAGCTGAATGGATCTATCACAGCTTGCAAATAAATAAATTCAAATTTTAAAAAAAGACCTCCTCTTTGTCAGTAAACTGTGCCCATCTGCACCTTCCCGTGCCTCCCTCCTCCCAAATTTAGACTTACAGTTCGAGAACCATAAGGGTTATATAATCCACCACTGTACAGTGAGGCCTAAAGAACAAAGGAAATACCATTTATCTATGCAGCATCAAAGTTATTTTGAAAATGCCTTAGCTTTTTATCAGTTCTCAGTCCCAAAAGATGTTTAAAGGACAATGTAAGCATATAGCCTCCGAAGTGGCAACTCTCAGGGCAACGACACTCCTTTAATGCATAAATTGCTGTACCAGTCTTGCTGTAAGTTCAAGCTCATACTTCACTTATAAAAGCACCACTGATGGCAGTATTTTCTTTCACTATCATGTTAGGAAACGAAGAGAACCAGCATTTATGCATTTATCCTCTCAAAAGAGGAACCAGAGCAGAAAAGGAAACAAGTCGAAGTACAGAGCGCGTTCTGCCCACTGTCACAATAAATTAAGCTACAGTTTCAGGGTCCCCGTCCACAAGGGCAGTCCACACCAAACAAACAATAGCTGGAAAGCAACCAGACTGCAATTCGCACATTCCACACAGCTACTGCTCTTGCTTTTCTAGTCAGCTTGCTCTATTAGACCCCAGTACTAACATGGCCAACGTCAGAGATGTCCCAAAGACAAATATGGCAGCCAGCCATATCGGGAAAATACGTGAGTGTGATGGGATCCATGCAAATCTTTCTTGTAGAAAACTGAGACCTCTTTTTTTTTTTTTTTTCTTATACACTGATTTATGCTCTAGGGTGCATGCACTAACCAGAGAGACAGAAAGTAAGAAATCATCCCCCGGGGGGATGGCCACACCGTAATCCCTTCTCCTCTTGGGATTTTGGACACGCACACACACACTTCTGGTGTGAGTTTTAAGACACCAGGTCTGGGACTTGAACCACAGTTGACTACTTGAGAGTCCAGTGACATAACCATTATGCCATCTGCTAGTCCCATCATTTTTTAAAAAGTTTTTTTGCTACAGGGCATGTGCACTTGTGGGGAGGGGCAGAGAGAGAGAGACAGAGAGAGACAGACAGAAATAAAGTGAGAAGTCACCCCTCCAGGGGAGTTGGCCACACTGCAACCCCTTCTCTTCCATTCTCCTGGGATTTGGGGCACACATGCACAAGCACCCAGCATGATTTTCAAGCTGCCAGGTCAAGACCTCAAACCATGGTTGGCCATGTGAGAGTCCAGCACCTTAACCACTACACCATCTGCTGGCCCCAGAAACCAATTCTAAACAAGGGCTACCAATGGCCTGCACCGTCTACTTCGGTGAACAGAAAAGAACATGCTTATTTTCAACGCCTAAAATCTTGTATTTAAAGCACAGGCAGCATGCCTGCAATACACATGGCAACACATGTTGGCCACATGTCCTTGACTGTCTTGGAGGAAAGCTTCAAGCTGCAGCGTTAGCACCAATGCCGTGGGCCCACCAGCAGTGCGCACACCGGAAGAGGGAAATACAAACCAGGCTAGCACTTCTCAGCAGACCAGAGTTTGCAGTAGGAGAGGCCTATGGGAAAAGTATACGATTAAACCCACAGAAAAGCAACTGGTAGCTCTGAAGGCAGCATACTCCTCAGGAATTACTAACCCTGTGACTCTTAGATGTTGCCAGAGGGTCACTGCACAGGGAAGACGACTGTGGAGAAACAAAAACAGAGCAGAACAAAATAAACAAAACCAGAGAACTGGTCTCATCTTCCCAGGAACAGAAGGCCAGTTCATGATTTTACAAGCCATAATTCATTAGCAATTCCTGAGTCCTTAAGGTAGTTAGGAAATGTGAAGGTAACTTAATTCATCAGAAACACTTTCGAATACCAATCGTAAGAAATAAGAAAGAAGAATACTTGGAATGGTTTTTCATTAATCTATTTGTGTGCTATTGGTCTTTGAACATAATTGTTTAGGATACAGAACGGCAACTTAAGAAAAAGACCATGGCTCAGAGAGTGTGGCAGGCAGTGGTTAGGCCCCAGGCCCCAGACCCCCTCCTGTGATACTGACAATGATTTTGTGACAGATTCCAAAAGGACTCAGACAGGAGAATCAGGTAAAGGAACTCCAAGTTATTCCTATACACACTCATATCCAAGTAGATTAGAAAACATGCATTTTGAAACAAGCCACAAAGTGCTTTAGTTCAATCAGATAAATTGTACCAGTCACAATGAATCAAAGCACTAAAAAGGCATAGCTTTTTTAAAAAAGGAGTTAAATCTTCTCCTCATGTCATCTAAGGACACAATTTTCAGTTATTTTTCACCAAACCAAATCAGACATGGAAATTAAAACCAAGTCATAGTGAAAATGTGAAAGCTTTGTAAACTGGATTATTTTATATGTATTATATTAGTGTGCTTTTAATTTATGTGCCAAATACCTTGAAAAACCATGGGATTCTAATGTTAAACAGTTACACTCTTCTTTTTTTTTTTTTTTTGGAGAGATTTTTTTTTGCTATAGGGCACATGTGCTCGCCAGACTGACAGAGAGACAGAGAGACAGAAAGCGAGAAATCAGCCCCAGGGGGGATGGCCACGCCGCAATCCCTTCTCCTCCATTCTCCTCTCGGGATCTTGGGCACGCACGCACACGCGCCCGTCATGAGTTTTAAGCCACCGGGTCCAGGACGCGAACCGTGGTTGACTACATGGGAGTCCAGCGACATAGCCATTCCACTAACTGCTGGTCCCCAACAGTTACACTCTTCTAATCCCACAGGTAGCTCAGATTTTCACATGTAAATTTTATTTAAAAGGGTATTCACCACGGAGTATACCGATGCCTACAACTTATTTTGTAATGCATCAGAAAGTAAGATGGGCTAAAGGATGGAGAGAGACAGGCAGACAGATAATTTCACCATAAAGGAAATATACTAAATTGCTTCATCTAAATGGTCACTTTATAGTGTTTACTATCCTTTGAACTTTTTTTTGTGTATTTAAAATTTTTCATTTACAAAAAAGTTTTTAATAGTATTCATTGACAAACACAGTGATTCAATCATTCCACATGCATTCAGTTACCAAAGACTAGTATTTATACAATCATTCACAGATTAATTATAACTAGTCAAAGTCCAAAACAGAAGATTAGAAACGTGTTAAAGGTGGATAAGACACATCAAGCCAAACAACTCTGGACAAACCCGAGTATAGTAGGCAGAAGAGGGTTTGCTATGCCTAAGACTGCTATAGTTTCTCTGGTCAAAGTAGAGGCCACTCTGCAAAATGCAAAATTAAACACATTTTTCTTAGGTGAAATATCGTTAACCTAATAACACAGAAGGTCAAAATTAAAGCACACAAAGTACTGGATCATATTAGGACAAGTTAAAGTAACAATTATTTTAAGTCTCTCAAAAAAGACTGGTATTTAATTTTAACTGTTTTCAGGCCAAGTCATTACTAAATTTTTTTGCTTTGAAAACAAGATAATCTTCAGTCAAAACAGAATGGGAAGAAATGATTTATTCTCATGTCATACTTGAGAATATCTCTGAAAATCCAAAGCAAATGAATAATTACCACTTTTATAATCCATTTGGCAAAGCCACAGAAATCACTAGAGTGATTATCCTAGTTCCATTATTTGTCAAAGTAAACTGGTTAAATTAAGTTACCAAAATGAGACAGTGTATGGTGTACTCAGTATGGTTTGGTCTAAAACATCTTTGGCAGGGGCTGGCAGGTAGCGTGGTACTTAAAGAGACAGACTCCCATGTGGCTGACCATGGTTCAAGTCCCAGACCTGGCAGCTTTCTTTCTCACTCTATCTCTCTCTCTGGTCAAACTGAATAACAGTAGTAATAATAATAATAATAATAATAATAATAAATTTGAATTAATAGTTTAAAAAAATTTTAATCTATGACAATTTCACTTTTGGTATACTACACAAAGCAATAATTTGGTTAGTTACTTGAAGGACAGAAAATAATCATAAAATTTTGTGGCCATCTTTTTTACTCAATGTCACTGTATTTTGAGTTTGGTACTACACATTAATACCACAACTAAGTCAATTCAAATTTCTAAAGAATAACAAGCTCACTAAACTTATTCTTGATACATATGACAAAGGACATTAATAAATAAAAATATCTTGTTGATGTGGTGTTTTTTTTTTTTTTGGTGGTATGTTAGTGACTCTAGGTACTACTTTTAGCATATGTCAATTTGATATTATATCTAATAAAAACAAAAATTTTAATAATGTTTTGATAAATAATGCTTTGACAATTTTTCCTTTTCCTTTTTTCTTTAGGTTTTTGCCTTAAGGCACGTGCATTCAACTAAGAGAAACAGAGAGTGAGAAAGGGAGAAATCACCCTTGGGAGGATGCTCACATCGTAATCCTTTCTCCATTCTACTCTCAGGATATTGGGCATACATGCACATGAGCCCGGTATGATTTCCAAGCTGCTGGGTCTTGTGCTTGAACCAAGGACAGCCATGTAGGAATCCAATGCCTTAACCACCATGCAACTTGCTGGTCCCTCCAAAATATTATTAAGCGTCAACAATCACTTAGAAGCACACCAAACATATTCTTAAGTTTCCTAAAAGTAACCATTACAATACAAGACAAAGTAGAACTAACCAGGAGGTCTTTGCGAGAACCAGAAGATCTCTTCTTCATTCCGTAAGAGGGGCTATAAGAATGATTCTGCAAGTAATATTCTGAGTTAACTTTAATGGTCGCAGAGTAAATTCTTAAAATTCAATAAGACTCATCTTAAAAGTATACACACAAGGGTCAGTATGAGACACAGGGCAGTCTCTCTACATGCAGTCTAGTTCCCACCTGTTAGTACACGACTCGTTGCACTAGACCAGCTAAGTAAGACGTGTCCTCTCCACACATTTATATTCCCTTCGTTTCCATGTGCCCAGCATCCAGCTCAGTTCTGGTCAGCTAATGGCAAAGGGATCAGAACTTAGAGCTAGCCAGGATATGTCCAGGATCTCCACCACACCACACTTGAGTCCTCCTTATAAAGGTATATGTGATGAGATACCATTTCTTTCTATAGTCTCCCTTACCTAAAGGCCAAAAAACAATCCTTCAGATCAACCAAAATAGGACTGAGCAAATGAAGATGGCACTACACTGCCCCAGACAGCACTCTTCGCCCAAGTTAGTGGTCCAGCTCAGAAGCGAAACAACCAGGAGGGTATAAACTGCCCAACACAGCATGAGCAATATTACTAACCAGTCACCTTATACAAGGGCCCCTGGAAGGCAGGTCTGTCTCAGCATATCATTTCTCCTAGAATCACAGAGCCAAGTATATATGGGGGGACAGAGGATAGTACTACTGCTAAATAGGCCAACTATCAGGTCATCGGAAAAGTCATAACACATTGACCCAATAGTAGACAAAAAAAAAAATTCCACCTAGGTGTATAGTGCTCACCAGGAATGAGGAGACACAGCTCCAAGTGCACTCAGAGTAGCCTAGCCATCAACAGACAAAAGCAACAGACTCTGCTCCAGTCATACCATCTCATAGAGTTAGATCCCAAATCAATGATTATGAACTTACTTTTCTTCTTTTTAAATGTCTCTTTCCTTTTACCCATTACTCTGAATATTTCGAGAAATATCTATCTAGTCTAGAAACTCAAGCAACCTACTAAAATAATATTAACCCAAGAACAATAAGCTACAGTTTAACTTTCTTGGCTAATAAGACTTACAATTAAAAAAAAAAAAATCAAGCCAAAATGCTTGACTGTAACTGACGTCCCAGGTGTCAACTCTCACTGGTGGATGTTCTCAGTTTAGCAACCTCGCACATAACATAAAGCATAGGTGAACCTGCACTACCGTAGTTCAGCGAGTGTGAAAATCCTGCTCGAACTTATCTCCAGGGCCCTGAATAGGTGTTAGCGGGGTAGCTCCTCATTGTAAAAAAATGTATTACCACCGATTTTACCCCTCAACAGGGAAACGAGTGATTTTTATCTGATCCTAACATTCTAAAGGAAAAAAATATTCAACTGATAAATTATGTCACCATGGCAAAACAATAGTTTTTGCTTTGTTAGTCACACATTTTCCCCAAAAGATCAGCAGAAAAAGTCATGAAAGTTAGTCACAACCTATGATTAGCATTAACAGGTGTTTTATAAAGTAGAGGAAAAGTCCACATTTAACACAAAGTCATGCACTACGTACTAATGATGAAAGTCTTGATGATCTGTCCTTGAGAGTATCATACTGGATTTCAGGCAAAGGTGAGAGATGGTTGTATTTAGAAATTCAGACACACAAAGAGGGGGAAATGTTAACATGTAGCAATTAAAGATCCAGAACTATTTTCAAAGTAAAAAATGATTAAAGCACAACAGCTATTGGGAACCAGCAGTTAGCATAATGGCTATGTCGCTGAACTCCCACGTGGTCGACCGCGGTTTGCGTCCCGGACCCGGTGGCTTAAAACTCACGCCGGGCATGTGTGCGTGCATGCCCAAGATCCCGAGAGGAGAATGGAGGAGAAGGGATTGCGGCGTGACCATCACCCGGAGGGTGATTTCTCACTTTCTGTCTCTCTGTTTCTCTCTGTCTGGCGAGCGCACACGCCCTATAGTGAAAACCTCTCAAAAAAAAAAAAAAAAAAAAAGGCACAACAGCTATTACATTTGAATTAAAGAATATGACTACTCTGGATCTTTCCAATAGCTTATTGCTAAACTATATTTGTATTTGTACATAAAACTGCATTTTTCTTACAAATAATAAAATTCATAATTAGAAATTTGGGCCAGCAGGTAGCGTAGTGTTGAAGGTGCTAGACTCCCACATGGCTGACTACAGTTCAAGTCCCAGACCTGGCAGCCTGAAAATCACATCAGGTGCATGTGCAGAGATGCCCAAAATCCCAGCAGGAGCATGGAAGAGAAAGGAATGTGGCGTGGCTATCCCCTCAGGTGCCAATTTCTCACCTTCCTTCTCACTGTCTCTCTCCAGCGAGCACACATGCCCAATGGCAAAAATCTTAAAAAAAGAATGCAACGTTTCAATCTCGACCTTCTACAGCA